TGGATTCAATTTTTTTTACTACCGGTTCTGTGGGCGTGGCTTGGTGGGCCTGGCAGGGGAAGGATACTGTAAAATCTCCAGTCAGAGGTGGTATTTGCCGGTTCTCCGAACTACTCAAAATTTCCACTACTGGTTCTCCAGAACTGGTCAGAACCTGCTGAATGCCACCTCTGGACATTTTATTTTTTAATCAACTATTTGATGTTTAATAAAAAAAGGACCAAACTTTTTTTACTCACTGAAAGTAAGTTGCAATTGGTGCTGTAATGAATTAGGGTCTGAACACTTGAAAAAAATAAAATAAAAATAGTGCTCAATTTACGACCACAGTTAAGCCCAAGGTTTCCATTGCTAAGCAAGACTGTTGTTAAACAAGTATTTCCTCCATTTATGACCTTTCTTGTCACAGTTGTTAAGAGAATCACTGCAGTTATGAAGTTAGTAACTCAGTTGTTAAGTGCATCTGGCTTCCCCAATTGACTTCGTTGGTCAGAAGGCCGCAAACGGTCACATGATCCCAAGACACTATAACCGCCATAAATACATGCTAGTGGCCAAGCAGCTGCATTTTGATCTTGTGACCATGCGGATGCTGCAACAGTTGTAAGTGTGAAAAATGGCCATAAGTCACTTTCTTCAGTGCAGTTGTAGCTTCAAACTGTCACTAAAGAAGTGATTGCAAGTTGAGAACTACCTATGAAAAGCAGGTTTCAAAGTTACTATTAGATAGTGAAAATAAAAAAGGGTAACCGTTTTTCACTAGGCCCTGTAATATTAGATTTAAATGCTGCATTTAAACTGAAAGAGAAATTATATGCTTGTTAATTCCTCTCTCATCTGAGCTAAGGTCTCAATCCATACTGGAATTTAATTAGAGGATGTTCATTGAAATGCAGAAGTGTGCTATTCAATTAATATGCAACTTGTTCTTAATTTATTTCAGCTGGCTTTCAACCTGAACCTTAGGTTGTTTTGCCATCTGGTTTTTGATTTAATTTACCTTTGTAGTATTTGCTGAAATCTGCACAAAATTTAAATTGAAAAACAAAATTGAACTTTAGAATACCATCAGATGTGATTTCTTAGTTATAAAATCATGTACGGTATCTTTGTTCTCTTCCAACTTAAACGTCAACTCCCGTGTAAATTAGATTCAGGTAATGGGAGGATAATATTTACAGTATTAGTTACATGTTGTAGAGTAGGGGTGTGAAACTCGTGGGCCGCAGCCCGGATGCCTGGCACACTGGCCACGCCCACCCCGTTTTAGTGAAGGGAGGGAAAGTCACGATACGTCATGTGATAGCAACGTGATGACATGAGTTTGAAACCCCTGTTGTGGTGGAATATGGAGATAAACTTGAAGAAGGCATGTAAGAACGGTTACATAACCATCTGTATAGCCCTGGAAAGAAAGAGAGGGTGAGAATAGAATGCTGGATTAAGGTGGGCTTTTTCTGATCCAGGACATTTGTCTTATATTTATATTTACATCCAAATAATTCAAAGAAGTGAATATATCCCAACAAACTTCCTTCCATTTTCCCCACAACAACCACCCTGTGAGGTGGGTTATGTTGAGAGGGAATGACTGACCCATAGTCACCCAGCTGGCTTTTATGCCTAAGGCGGAACTAGAACTCAAGCCTGGTTACTTTCATGGACATTATACATTTTAAAGACCACATTAGTGCTAAGACTTACAGATTACAAATGATTTTGAAGAATTCATGTAGCCTAAAAATGTCATTAGAAATGGCTGTCTGTTAAAATAGCTTCCTTTTCTGTACTGCTGGGTCTATTGATTTTGCTTGTTTGCACATGTAGAAAAGTGCTGGAAACATACTGGTTTTCCTAGTCCCACCCTGAAGTTTATGTTATGTACAAGGGAATGAATATCTGTTTCTCTTTAGGAATGTGGATCCACCTATCTGGTATGACACGGATGTAAAGCTGTTTGAAATTCAGCGCGTTTGAGGAACGGAACTTGCCTCCGGTTGAGTAGAAACACTGGAAACAAGGATCTTGCTGTGCGCTTGTTTCATCACAGCTCTTTCTTCATTTCACTGCCTCGTGCATGTTCCAGAGGACAATCACAGCCATTTCCGTTCCACTTTTAAAATTCAGTAGCCCTTCCTAACTTTGCCCACCCCCCCAAGAAAAGGTGTGATGGAAAGTTGTTGAAGGAATGGTCATTGCTAAGAATCAGACTGAAAACCAAACAAGAGTTTAATCAAACCTTCCCCCATGCTTTTTGGTGCAATTTTGAATCTGACTAGCGAGAGAAACCATCTTTTCCCTCCCTGGTCAGACTCAGCCTTTATGTAGAAAGACTGTGAATGTAAAGAATTAGAAAGTGGACCAGTGAAGGAAGCTCAACTGCAAGAAGTAGCTTTGTGGTTCTTTTCCAAAGAATGTAGGCTCTCAGCCCTTTTTCCAATCCTCTGTTCCCAGGGCCCCCCAACTGTTTTATTGTATCGTATGAGGGACAAAAAGGAGTTTCCTTTAGGAAGTGACTGTTGACCCAACAGTCTACTTATTTATGTTACTTCAGGGAAACAAATTGGTTTTGTTCACTCTCCCCTGTCAATGAAAATGTGCTTAATTTCTTTGTCCTGATGTTGTTACAGAACATTCAAATTCCGTTTTTGTTTGTTTTCCTAACCTTGTAGGAACTCCTTTTAAGTATGGATATGTATCTTAAATATATTTCACATTTTAAAATTGCTGTTTATTGCAAGAATTGTTTCTGGGAAAAATATTATTGGACATCTTGAGAGATGAGGAAACGGCTTGGGCACATGCTATTTTCAGGGATTTAAAAATTATTGTGTGGGATTTTTTTTTTTTAATGTATTGAAACGAGCAGTCAGACTGCTGGAATGGAGTTTTATTCTCTAAAAAGTCACATAGTGTGGCTTGTATTCTAAGTTGATTAATTAAACTATAATTGATCTAAAGTAAAACAAATTCTCCTGCTTATAAAGTTTCAGCATGGCTTTGCAGGATCCAATAGCATCATATTAATATAAGTGTGCTTTGCTCAATACTAAGGATGGCAAGTATGTTATCTCCTCCTTGCCAGTTTTTATTTGAGCCCTAGCCAGAAAATCTGAAATATGAGAGGCTGTTTTGACATAGCCCTTTTTATAAAAACTTGTCTTTTTTCATACCTGACGTTAAACAAATATTGTCACCTTGTGGCATAGGAAAGTGCAACTTAAACTTGTAAAATTAATTCTAAATACAGTTCGTTTTTTCTGCTCAAGAATTTTTTTTTCAGGTTTTTTTATTACAATAAAGTGAGCAAATTGTAGGTTCAGTTGGAGATTAGACTGGATAAATAAGAAGATCATTGTTATTCCTTTTTGACATTTCTCCCTTTGACATTTATCATTTCATGTCCTCCTCATTAACAAAAACCTGCTATTTAATTCTTATTACATGCCTATAGAAAGATTATATTTTCCTGCCCAATTAAGGTTCTGATGAATTGCACCATATTTCTATCTCACTACAGAGTAAAGATTCTTGTAAGTAAACACTCATCCATGTCTTTCACCTATATACACAAACACTCTCATATATGTATGTATGCACATTTCTGTGATGCTCCGACATTTTATTGTATGTGTAGGGATTTTTTGTGAATTTATCTTGACTTTTTCTTTCTTTAGAATGGCATCTCTGCTCTTTGTTCCCTGAAGAATCAAAATTGCACTATAAACTATTTACTTTGCGTATGGAGATAAAATTATCTTAAATGCTGTAGCTGGCTTTATCTATATCACAAGAGGTTTATTAGCTTATTTGTGTTACTGTTTGATTTATGATGCTGTGGAATTCTTTGCAACATGTACCTTTCCATTAAAGGCATGGCTGCAGAGGAGCTCTTGGATCGATATTTTACTGTTCAGTATCTGAAAGAACATTGGTGTGGCACATTTTACACTAGCACATTTGCTGGTGAGAAGGGGATAGGTGGACTGTACCTCAGATTTTAGATGACTTTGTAGAATTAAAATGTACAAAATAAACATACCTTCGAAGCAACATGAAATTTAAGGAAATTAGCATTAATTTGCCAGCTGTTGTGACTGAGGAATGTCAGACTTCTTTTTTTTCAGAATTCGAAAGATATATTTAGATTCTGGGTAACCAGTTGGTCTGAGGGCCGTGGTTCATGCATCTGCTCCAGACTGCACTAATCTTTACTGCAGAGCTCTAAACTTTTCCCTGCTTTTTCCTCAAAAACCACCAACTTTCAGTAAGTTACTTTGATAGGACCTTGAGTTTCAACCTGTGAAGAATGGGACAATTTTTAAGAAGGCTAATTTACTAAATTCTTATATCTTCTGGTGACTTTAACACAGAACAGAATAAAACTAGTCAAAATGAAACATTCCAATGGCTAAGAATGTTTGTTCTTTGGGGTTTGGACTAGGTTCCTCTTTGGAGCAGAAGTTTTCTGAATGGAACCTGAATAAACTTCTTGCAGCCTATTTTGACTTGGTTTTCTGAAGTTAGAGTTGTGAGAAAGCCAAGCCCTCAACTCTATCTCAGTAATTCTTAAATGATTTATTTTGCAGGAGAGCAATAAAATAAGAAATGTTTACACTTCCACCTGTTACCCTTTATCAAAGAGAACGGTTTAGTTATTACTAAAAGGTAGATTGATCACAAAGCTTGGATCAGTTTTAATTCCTTATATAATCAAATATGTATAATAACTTACAGGCGGTTCTTCAATGCAGTCTTTTTTTTTTTGTATCCTGAACTCTGGGCAAAACAACTAGAGCATGCGTAATAAACTTAGGAAATTTAGCTACTTATCATTTTTAAGAGACTGGAAGCTTTTCAGAATTCCCCACTGTTCTGTTTTTGCATTTTTCAATAATTAGTAGTTCTGATCAGATCCTGAACTTGATATTTTACTCTGCTTTAATATATTTATTCCTGTTCCAGTTTTTTATTATTTAGATATTTGGTGTGCAAGATAAATAATGAAAACAGGACTATGTCTGATCTATCTTAACTTAAAATTTTTATGATCCTGGTCTAACAAGGCAGCCTTGGAAGAAGCAATCATTTTATCATGGTGTGTGGGGATCATCTGAGAAAGGCTGTCCAATGCAGGGTACAATTATCCAAGTGTAGATGAGTCTGCTGGCATAGTGTAGTATCCTGAACAAAGTTGCTTGTTGATTTATAAGAAGAGGTCCTTGTCCTTTTCCACACTTTTTATCATTTAATCAAAAATCAAATTATTAAATTTCAATTGTTCCAAAGTATATCAGCATTCTGAGACATTTTATTATCTGCTTAATATCAAAATTATGTTTCAGTCTTTCTAAATATTACATTTTCTCTTTTTGTGCTTTATTTCCTCCATTGATGCAAAATATAAGACTGATTGTCACAAACATATCTTGAATGGCCTTGTATTGTCACATATGCATGACGGATACAATCTTCTATGTTTTGATTATAGATGTAAATAGATGCCACCCTGCGATGTTTTCATGCCATTTCAAAAGGCATTGATAGAAATGTCCTTCACTTAAAAGTGATCCATTTCTCAGACTCTTCTCAATGATTCAGCCACATCCAAGGATTGATGCAGTCATACAAAGTTTCCGTTTCACCCAAGGGATTGCCATGCTAAACCTAGTTTACCTCTCGTTCAAACTTGACATTAGTCATATATTCTTAAGGTTAATAATTGTTCAGCATCACTGTAATTAGGTTTTCTAAGTAATGTGTACAGAACAAGTCAATCCTATTAAGAGCTATTATGGAGAAATGACCTTTCAGTGGTTAATGGACTACTTACTGAAAAGATCAGATTATTCTTTCTGATTAAAATATTATTCAAGATGATATCACAAATTTCTCTAATGTGAAATTTTCATAATTTTACTCATTTTATTACTGGTCGTAAAATGCACTTTTCGTCATTGCATTTCTAGCAGAATAAAAACAGCAATATGAGAAAACTTAGATTTGCTTCAGGCAGAGCGATACACCTCCAGAAGATCTCCAACAGAATGCATTCTGTAGAACACACCCAATGGAAGCCCAAAGTTGACAATGGCAAACCAGGTGGAGTAGCCATAAAATGACTTCTCTATTCCATTCTCAAACTCTGGATGTGCTCCAAATGATGGCATAATCCACAGCTGGAAAGGAGATACAAAAGTAGAGCAGGATCAGGTACTCTGATTGGTGGGGTGTAGGTATGTGCATTTACTATAAAAACACCATGGTAATTTTATCTTAATTTTTGGTAATATTTTCTTGTTTCCCCATTTCCAATGAGTGAAAATCTTCACAACCTTGGTTTTTGTACTACACAAAATCTGAACAAGTTTTTATTCATTTGCTTTCACTCTGCAATTTCCATGTCTAATCCATGATTCAGGCATTTCCCTTAGCAATTTTCCTGTTCCTCATACTTTTGTTCTGTGTCTTTAGTCATTTTTGTTGCCTCAGAAAATCCATTATGGAGAGAAAGTTAGAAATCCTGCATAATTTAAACTGATAATGCCAGAAGTCTTTCGCAGTCTTTCTGTGCTAGGTTATTTTTATCTCAATTTTTAAAAAAAATCGTCATTTGATTTTTTGGTGGATGCTGATCCCACACTTTATATTAGTGTCTAGTCATTTGTCCTTTGTTGACAATAGCACTTGAAAATGTGACAGGATTAGAAAGTTGGAGTTCTCCAAATATTTTGGATTAAATTTTTTAACCAAACTTGGTCACAATGCCTTTGGTCAAGAGATTTCAATAGAATAGTAATTCAAAACACTTGGAAGATACTTAGTAGGACATCTCTAGTACCTTGTATACAGCAGGCTATACTTTCAATTATTATGTTATTTATATTAGTACTTACAATGATATTGCACATGATCAGGAAGCTGGAGATCTCCTTCAGAGCTCTTCTTTTCCAGTTCAGATGCCTGTAGGCCTTGATGTAAGTCCACGAAACACTCTGATTTTCCTGTCTTGTCTCTAGGTTATCCATGTTTGGGGAGCTGCCTTCACATTTCTCTCTTTCACTTTTGCTTGTCTCCTGATTGGCAGGGGATGGGGCAGGCTCTTCACAGAGATGAGACAGAACCCTATCTTCATTAGGCAGAATTTGGGTGGAGGGAGGCCCTTGGGTGGAATGTGCAGCAAGTTGAGAGTCCTCACTCATCAGTAGTGGTTGCCTGTGAAGCCCCTCAATGATGAAGATATTCTGGGAAATGTATTGAATGATGAGGCTTATTGAATAGGCTAAAATGATACTGTTCAACATGCTTATTGGATGGCTGGCCACAATGGCTACAATGGAAAAATATGAGATGGCAATTTGGCCTAAGGCTGTTCCCATGAGCAAGATGACATCAAGGCTTCTGGTTGGATTTTTCAGAGTATCCATCTCTCTTTCTTCTAAGGCATGGATAACAGTTCCAACCAAAGCCCCCACAGTCATTACAGGCAATAAACAAATGTAGTAGGAATAATAAAGTATGAATGACATACGACTAGGGAAAGAACTGGTAACTTGAATTTGATAGATCATGAAAATGCAAATACCTATAATTATTGCAGCGATACCAAGCAAAGGTCCCCAAATGATGCCATGGAGTTTGAATCTAGGCTGGGTTCCAGAGGTGTGGTTCTGAGTTATGCGCCGGCCCACATTCTTCCACATGACATAGAGCATGGCGCAACAGATCAAACAATATTCTGTGTTGAAGGGGTATAACAAAATATATCCTTTTTGGAAGATTTTGCAGATGGTCGCGTTTGAGTCCTTGCAGGAATACGTCATATTACCTGGGCAAATAGGGAAAATGAAGGATTATACTGAAGGTTTAATATGTTAACATCTAGGCTGAACAAGAAATTTTCTCAGACATTGGTGCTACTACCATAGAAGACAGAAGAATATATCCTTGGCAATGATTATGAATTTTGTTTCAACCAACAAGTGAATGTTGTCTTCTCTGTTGAGTAGTGAAATGCTGAACATGAAGGTCCAGCATATACCAGGTAATCCATTGATTTATCGTGCTACCAATTTGAATCAGTATCAGGAAGCTTTAGATTATTATTTTTTCTACATACTAATGGCTGGATTTATTATGCATTCATGTTCAAAAGAGGTGGAACTTCTATCTCAATTCTTCATCTTCCTGATTTGGGCTCTCTCTCCCCCCCTCCCTCCACTCTCTCACACGCACATAATTAGCCACAAAAAGGTTAGCCTGCTTAAACTTGATGCATCACTAAGGAAAACACCAGGATTTATCAACCATAGAAAGAGCCTCTTATGAGAAAACCAACCCATATTGTGACTTAAAACATAAAGACAGTTATTGAAATATGTGGGATGGAATTCTTTGCTCTAGGATACTTATGGGAAGAAAATGTCAAATTCATTGGAGTTAATTTAAAACAGAAAATGACTCTTGCCTTCATCTTTTTGCAGAGACTGGTTAAATTCTGATTCAATTTGTCTGTGAACTGTATCATTGGTCACTGCTAAAAACCATAGCAGGAGATTAGTGGCCAAGGTCAGCATTAGCCCACACCTGTCAAAAAAGGAAAACACATTCTTTAAATAATCTTCGCCATTGATCTTTATGAAACAAGTCATGTTGCACTGTTTTAAAGAACATTCTCTTTTTCCAGAACACTTTGTGCGGTGTGAAAATCAGCACATCAGTAATTGAATTGGAGACTTCCAAATGACAGCAATATAAGAATTAAGGAACTGAGTTAGAATGAAAATACAGTTTTACCTTAAAAAAAATACCATCCCATTCTAAAAATTGGCCTTTTAATACGGAGTCACACCTGAGAACTGCAGGTAATCTTGATAAGAAGAATCAGTGTGGGTTTATGTGTTTGTCTGTGCCAGGTTTATGGAATTTTTTGTCATCCCTCAAGAGCAGTTCCACTCTGGGTCACAAGGCAGAGAGAAGGGGTCTTAGAATGGCGCAGATAGTGAGGGGGGATTTTTCTTCCCTGGATTTTATTCTCCTTAGTCCCTGGCCTGATCTGATTCATATTCAGTTCTATTTTTGCCACTTCTCCCTCGTGGAAAAATTGGCTCCAAACAATTCAGTTTTCAGATTCTGATGGCAGAGTCCCTGGATCCCTTTACATAATTTCTTTCCAACATTTTGCTGCATTGGAAAGAATATAAAGATTTAAAACTGTGTTATGGAAGAAATTTTGAAGGGCAGTGCTCAAGCTAAAAAGACATCTCTTTTCTGTTTTAATTCATGTGTTCTACTGAGGTACGAGTATGAACGGCAAAAGAAGAAAATCAAAAGCAGTGTTTTTCAAACTTGACTAGTTTAAGATATGTGGACTTCAGCTCCCAGAATTCCCATGTTGGCTGTTGAATTCTGGGAAGTGAAGTCTGTACATCTTTAAAAGTTTCCAAGTTTGAAAAACACAGATCTACACATATTTGGCTTATGTCAGATTTCATTAAAAAGTTAGAATGACACTTTCAGATGTCAGATTTCATTAAAAAGTTAGAATGACACTTTCAGTTCCAATAGGTATAAGAATTATGTGTTACCTTGTAAACTCCCCGGCCCCAGTAATCTTGATAAAGGACAGAAAATTAGCAACAGCCCCACATCAAAAATGATGCAAAGCAATGGAAATCTATAGTAACACAAAGAATCATTTTTTGCTCTATCTGGATTTCTGTTTCACCTGTAATTTTCTCTTATGTAATTTTGAGATTTTTAATCAATTTTATATCTATGTTACATTTATTTAGTCCTTTCATTCATTTAAGGTAAATTGTCAGGATAGAATAGAAGCATCCTGAAGACGATAACAGAACTGAACATTGGAAACTGGTTTTGCAATATATATATTCTTCTTCAGAAAATTTGTATGAATACAGATAAAATATATTTTTATTAGTTGCTGCAAAAAATAACATAACGGGGCATTGCTTCCATCTGCTCAAAAGCAGTGTATTGTTTGCTGTTTCCATTTTCCTACCTGGTGAGGTTGTGCTGAACCTGGATACAGTCTTTCGCATGACACCATATAAAGTAGGTCTAAAAGCAATGCAGAGAGTAAACTTGGGTGTAAAACATGGAAACACATCTATGCAACAACTTATACAGTGGTTTGTAAGGGAAAGGGTTCAGTGTCTTACATGCTTGGTCAAGAAAAAACATTGCAGAGATGAAAAGTTATTTCTCAGTCTGCTACAACCATGGCTGAAGCAATAAGATACTTCTCCTGTTCTCCGTTTGTTCTCCAAAGAGCTTTTGAGGCCAGAGCTACAACACATATGGGTACTCAAGAGTTGTACTGGTTACTCTGACTATTAAGAAATATGCTTTATACCCTTTATCTCCAACTTATCCTAACTTCTCCTCCTCTCCATGTCTATTGAGCATCTTTCTTAGAGTAGCAGGAAGCAAAAGGACTAAGGAAGCAATGCCTGAGGGGCTGCCCATTTCCTTCTTTGAAAATATGTTCTGGAAGCATAAATGAAAGCATTGCAATCTCATGGGAAGCTAGTTACTGGCAATGCTAGCATATGCTCTATACACATAGTAGCTATTAGGCTCAGTTAATCTCTGAGTTAGTTTGCTGTTTGGAGTAGATGCCTTTTCCCCAATGGCTGTCCTTTCTATACATACTATTTAAGAATCTATAGTAAAGGTGGTCTATTACCTGAATGCAGATGAAGAGTATTTCTATGGATGGGAACAAGATTTCCATTTGCGATTTGCTCTGAATATGGACAAGGTCATACCCAATCAGGAAACTAGGCAAGGCAACGCTGCATGCTCCGAACAATATTAAAGACCCTATATAGACATAAAAGACGCCCCCCAAAGGTTTTGTTAACAAAGAACTAGTTATATTTATCAATATTTATTACATGCACAGAGAGTGCAGCATATTTAGAAAGTGAAGTAGATCAAATAAAGCAAATTAATTTTTCAGTTTTTCCAGAGTCTGCAGTATCTATACAAAAAGTGATGTACACCATGCTTCTGTGTCATCAGATACCTTTCTGGTAGTGTTTGGAGGCCATAAAGGGTAGCCTTCAAAGATTGCCTGAATGTTTACAATTAATCAGATACGGTATTATGAAAAAAATATAGGCCCGCAATATTTACCTCTAATCCAAATAGCCCCTGCATGGGCATCCTGATACAAGATGGCAGATGGTTTCCTTCTAGTGAACAATACATAATATGTTATCCAGCTCAAGGATAGGATCTTGAGGATGCATAGGAAAATCGAGACTTCTCTCATGGTAATGGCTACTTTGTTGAAAATCATACTACATATGAATGCACTGCCAAGAAACACTACATTCATGGCTAGAAGTCCAGAGAAGAGCTGCCCAGTTTTCTGGGCCTGCTTGTCACAGTGTAACAATGAAGAGCAATTTTGGTGGAGCCATGACTTCTCATAATGGATCTTCCATGACTCTGGTTGTGTAGTCACCGATTCATTTCCAGCTTCTTGAAGTTGGTGTTCCTCCCCCATTATCTTTTTGCTGTCCATCACAATTCCTTGATTAACTGCTGCTGGATTTTTTAAAATCTATGGTATTAAACAAAGTTAAGATTACTGAAGACTTAGGTGTAGGTCCTGAATACTCAACATGGCATCAGTGGACCTCTCTTGCTACTGGTGAGGATCCTTCATCAATTTTTTGGGAGGTGGGATATATGTAAATTTGTTTAATTAAAACAAATAGGTGTTTCATTGAAAAGATGGCATTGTATCTACATAGTTGGCTAGCTAGATAATAAATACATACTGAACATTTTAGTAATTCCTGGTATAATATCTTGATCTATTCTCCAATGAGGATCATTTCTGTCTTTTGCTGCAGAAGCAGCATTGAATCAGTATGAATCATTTGAATCATTTCATGTGGTCTCTGATGTCGTCTCATTAGAGGTGACAGTTCTGCCTTCCAGGTCCTTTTTTCTGTTACCACAACATTTTTACATAAAAAGGGCCGGATACAAAACAGCTGCCATGTCAATAGTAGTTTGGAATGGAAAGGAGGAATGCAAACATGGAGAACACAAACATTCTAATATTTTTTTAAGATGGGGAAGAGATGTGTGTTATAGGGAGAAAACCAAGAGGGAATAGTAAAGTTGAAGTGGTTGAAACAATACTGATTGATCACTGAATGTTTTGAACTGGAATTGGAAGGGTGTGGGGTGAGAAAGAATTAGACAGACTGGTTAATTGGAAGGCAGCAGTCTGAGAGAAAATCGACATGATAGGGAGGTGAACCCCAGAGCTCTGCTTAGAGTTCTATGCCCACCTGTCTAGAAAACACATACAGGTAAGGTGAAGTGGTAGATAGCACTCCAACATGTCAGGTTGTAGAGCAACAGCACTAATTTGTTTCCAAGTAAGGTGGTGTTTTGTAGAAACGAGCTATGAACCTCAAGGGAGTTCAAAACCTGTTTGCAAATTTCCTCAAGTGCCCACACTGAGACAGGATTAGGAAGTCACTGTCACGGTCATTGTGATCAAAAAGCTTCCCCCCCCCAGGAACAACAACTTGAATTACTCATATACGTGTGAAGAAATAGTAAGAATGCTTGAATGTGTACAAGGTCAACCATTTCATAATCACCTCAAGCTATTATGTGTCTTTATGTGAAGGAAAAAAGTTGCCTCCAGACCCGTCTGCTTGCCCAATTTTGGAACTTTTGACTTTGTAAAAAATAGAATATGTGAGAACTTTCTCAGTCAAAGTTTGATAGGCTGAATTCAAACATCATTAAATCATTTGTTATAACCGTAGTTTTTAAATAAGTCACAGCAGATGACTTCCTACATGATATTAAACACAAACTATGATTTAATACCAATAGAAGACAGTATGTGTAGCTCAGGTTGAACTATAGATCACACTAGCTAAATATTATTCATTGCACACAAATAAATTGCACATTATCGGTGAACAACGTGTATGAACCCAAACAATATGAATTATGACTTTTGATTCTATTTTGCTTGTTGAACAAGAAATCATGAAAAAAAATGACCATAAATTAGCAAAATCCCTGAACTAAGTCTATCAAAGAGAAAAAGGGTTTGAAGTTTTTCATTTCCCACGTTAGCTACACTACTGACTACTTAAGTATATTTTATAACTTTTTATATCATATTCTCAATAATTTATAATAACATATTAAAATGTAAATAAAAAATACAACATTTAATACAGGATTATCAAATGATAGAACTTTTATCTCTGTCTAATACATTTGCTAAAGTATTAGTTTTCTCTGTTCCCCTGTTGTTTTGTTTAAACATCAAAACGTTTCTGTTCCATAAACATATTCTAAATTATAAGATTAATGCAGTGGTGGGCTGCAATTGGTTTGACAACCGGTTTGGTGACTGTGCAATTTGCACAGACATGTGCAAAGTGGGCATGCATAAGCGCACCAACAACCTACCGTCCCTGTCCTATTGTTTCTTTTATATATTTTTTATTTTTCTTATATGTATCCATGTATTCATAACTATGTTTTTACTTATACCTATTATCTTCTAAGCAATTGGCAAATAAAAATAAATAAAATAAAATGTTTGCATTGCGTGCATGTGCAGCGTTAAAAAACCAACCATTTTAAACTTCAAAATCTTACCTTCTGTGTCAGTGCTGGTGAGTAAAACAGCTGAGGCACGGCAATCCACTATGCCACGTGAATCAGCTGAACTAAAAAACAGGGAAATATAGGACAGGAAAGGACAGGGGTGGGTGGGTGGGGCCAACTGCTCACCGGAACTACTGGTTCGCAAAGCGCATGCTCACCGAACCGGTTGTTAAACCAGCTGCAGCCCATCACTTTTCTAGGCCAATTTCTTGTCCAAAGAAGGACTCCTCAGACCTTCCCAAACAACTAGCTATCCATCCTTGCTTGAAATCTTCCAGTCATGCTTGAAAACCTCCATGAGTTGAGAAGACAGGTTGTTCCACTTCTTCACAGCATTTACGGTCAGGAAATTCATTATTTTCATTCTCTCTCTCTCTCTCTCTCTCTCTCTCTCTCTCTCTCTCTCTCTCTCCTACCTTCAGTACTATGAAGAATAAATCTGAACCTTCTCTGTGAGAGCCCTTCAAATATTGGAAGTCTATTACTGTGTCTCTCCATAGCCGTTTTTTAAAGGCTAAACATAATCTGGTCTTTGAACCAGTCTTTATATAAAGCCATTCCCATTTACATTTTATCCTTTTATCAATAATCGATTGGAAAGTACCTAGACAAATGCAGGAATCATATTCCTTTTTATTGCAAGCAGTGCCAACGTAGTTGGAAAGAGTTACAAGCAGCAGTGAAAAAACACTGCTTTAATGCTTCTCAATAGAGCAAAGCGGTTATAAATATCCAGCCATCCAGTGTTGCCTTTTACCTTCAGACTATTTTGCCTTACCACTTCTCCTTAACCATTTCCCACCATCTTTAGGTTCCCTTTTTTTCATTCCAAACTTTTCATTTGTTTTCTGCTCTCTTTGTTAAGTGGTTGCAGCAGAACAAAAAACACTGAATGATAATACTTTGGTTTGCCTTCCGAAAGAGTCCTGAACACTCTCTGTAACATGTATTCAGACAAACACTCTGGCCCCATAAAAATGCCAGTAGCATTGTAGCCTGTCCATGCAATCTGCTAGAGGCCTCCTCTGATGTAAATCAGCTAAATAACTAAGATGATTAAGGGCCTGAAGACAAAAACATATGAAGAACGGTAGCAAGAATTGGGTTTGGCTAGTAGTCTAGTGAAATGAAAGACTAAGGATGACATGATAGCAGTATTCCAGTATTGCTTATTGTACCCTAAGACTACCATTAAGTGTCGTACCTTATGATTCTTGACTCTTGACTAATGTATGTTTTATGTATACTGAGAATATTTACACCAAGACAAATTCCTTGTGTGTCCAATCACACTTGGCCAATAAAGTATTCTATCTATCTATCTATCTATCTATCTATCTATCTATCTATCTATCTATCTATCTATCTATCATCTATCTATTTAAGGGGCTGCTACAAAGAAGAGGGGATCAACTTACTTTCCAAAGCACCAGAAGGCAAGACAAGAAACAACAGATGGAAACTAATCAAGGAGAGAAGCAACCTGGAATTAAGGAGAAACTTTCTAACAGTGAGGAGAAATAACCAGTGGAACAGAAGTTGCCTTTAGAAGTTGTGGGTGCTCCATCACCAGAGGTTTTTAAGAAGAGACTGGGCAGCCACTTGTCTGAAATGGCATAGGTCTCCTGCTTAAGCTTCCAAGGTCCCTTCCTCTCTATTCTGATTGATTGATTGATTAATTGAAATGCTACTGGGTTCTGTGAGAAGCTTGTTTCTGGGGAAAAGGGGTATGTGATTGCAGACTAAGTCACCGAAGCCTGAAAGCAAATACAGAGGATTAGGGCTGGGGCAATAAAAGGAAAAGCACCCTGGTAAATGATTTGCAGATTCCCAGGATTAAGAATTGATGCATTGGTGTGCTATCATAACATAAATCTTGGCAAATTAAAAATAAGGGACAGAAAAGAGTCCTAAATGGCAACAAAGAAAAATAATTATTAAACAGGCCAGACACATTTTGGAGGGGTAGTTTTTCAGGGGTATTTGAATCAGACTTTATTAATACAACAAAGTGATTTGTTTGGAACATTTTAGCTCTTTGATTTCCTTCCTTCCTTCCTTCCTTCCTTCCTTCCTTCCTTCCTTCCTTC